TGTCAGGGAGGATGGGGCCTTGTGGGGGGCTGCGTGGGGGAAATGGGGCCTTTTGGGGGGCTGTAACGTGTGGAGGAGGCTGTAGGGAAAGGGCTGCAGGGGTGGGGGGAGAATCCTCTGGAGGAAGGGTCAGGGCTCGGGGCGGGGGGGGGGGGAGTGCCCTGCAGTGCTCAGGGTGGTGTGGTGGTGAGGGAGGGGGCTGTCAAGAAACTTCTGGAAAACAGGAACGCAGGGGGGTCACAGAAAGCTGAGGCCGAAGGGTGGCGGCGGAGGGGGAGGCTTGGTCCGGGCTCTCTGAAGGGTGCTGGGGTCCCACACCCTAATGCAGCACTCCCCCCACCCCCAGCTTGGCCCGGCAAGAGACAGAGACATGAGCAAAGCCAGGAGGATGCCGCCGGGCCATGGTGCCGCCATTGCCAGGCAGGTACGGCCCGCTTCCCCCCCTCCTCGCCCCGGTGTGCACCAAACCCTAGCACCCTCAGGAAGCTGGGTGGGCCCCCCCCCCACCCCGGCCCGCGTGGGAGGGAAAGGTCGACGCCATAAACAGCTCTTCCGCAGGCAGAGGGAAACCTGAGCCATCGTGGGCAGGGCTGCCGGGCGCTTTCCTGCCGCACCTCCCCGTGTGGGGACATCGGTCATGCAGGGCTATGTTTTGGTTAAACGGGTGCTAATGGCGATGCTGGCTGTTCCCGTTGCAGGGTTTCTGTCACTGAGCTGGGAGCATCTGCACTGTCTGTCGTCTTTATTTAAGTGTTTTAATTAGTTTAAATGCTTTTATTTGCTTCATTGCCTTGTGGATCACCGTGGCGAGGTCACTCGGGGCACTGTGGGCTCAATTCCGAACCATGGGACACGCTGAATTCCACCCACAGAAGGTCCACATCGATCCCCTCCTTCCTTCTGCTGGATCCCAGGGGATCCCCTCGCACTAACGAGGCATTGTTAGCGTCGTGCCCTCAGGGCTGTCCCTCCCTCTCCCTCCCCGCAGATGGGTTTGCTGGTGGACCTCTCCCCGGAGGGGACAGCAGGGGATGACACCGGAGATGATGCCGCCGAGCTGGAGGCTGAGCTGCTGGCGCTGGTGGGAGGCCGAGCTGCGCCGGGAGAGAAGCCCAAGGGGAAAAGTGAGTGCTGCTGCTGCAGGGAGCTCATGTGCAGTCAACTTCTGGGATAATTAATAACACAGCATGTAGAAAGCCGCTCCTCTTGGGTTGTTTCTGCCTCCACCCCGGGCTGGACTCCCCTGCACGTGGGCTTAAACCATCAAGAAACAGGTACGTTGCCCCAAAAAACCCTTCGTGCTGTTTCTGCTCCTCCAGCCCCTTTGCCGATGGAGGCGATTGAGAAGATGGCCGCCCTCTGCATGAAGGACACGGACGAGGAGGAGGAGGGGGATGACGAAGAAGAGCTGGAAGATGAAGACGATCTCATGGTGAGAAGGGATTGAGCTCCTGGGGAAGCTCTGGTCTCTGCGCCTCTGTCGCTGGGGCTTTATTTGTTGGGATTGCCTTATCCTAAAAAAGGGCTTTTCTGCCCTGGATCGTTGCTGATGAAACTCCCGGCGCTTTGCAGGCCGAGCTGCAGGAGGTGCTGGGCGAAGGGGAAGGGAGCACGGATGCACCGGTGCCCCCCGCCAAGGTACGACGCGTCTTTTTGCTCCACTTCTGTTGTGTTGGCACCAGATCCGGCCCTTTTTAGCCTTTTGTGTTGTTTTGTTCGTTTCCCTGACGAGAAAATGTGACTCTGTCACGTGAACCTGCTCCCCAGAGAGGTAAAAAACTTTCCTGGCGGTCAGGGGGAGAAGCCAGGTTCCCTTTGCCTTGTCAGTAATGAGCAGCATTGGAAAATGCGAGCGTGGAGGCAGGATTTAGCAAATTTATTGGAATCTATGAGAAATAAGTCTCCGTCAATCCCCTTTTTAGCCGTTCTCAGGCAATCCCTGTTTATTAGCAGCTGTCGGGGTTCTGCTGCTGCTCCTTGGGGCTCTTCCTTAAGCCCGCAGAGGCTGTAAAATCACGGTGCAGATCAGGAAGGGTGGCTGTGCCAGACCTGGCGTGAGCCAGAGCCAGGTGCTGAGCCACCGGGTCTGCTCTGAGCCCCCGATCCGAACGGATATCAGCGGTGGGGGTAGTCTGGGTCTCGCTGGGTTGATCCGAGCGTTTCTTCTTGGGGCGGCTGCAGGTTCCGGAGGTGCCTCCGGAGCCCAGCGACATCGAGTCCACGCTGGGGGAGCGGGCAGACATGTACCGGACGGCCATCGCCAATGCCAAGCAGGCCGGGGACAGCTCCAGGGTGCGGCGCTACGAGAGGGGCCTCAAGGTGAGCCGAAATCATGGGCCTGAGGGCTCATGGGACTCTGACACAAAGTCCTCAGTTTCCTTGAATCTTTAATCAAATGAAACCGTTTGATCTTGAATTCCCGGCTGAGCTTGGCCAGTGTTTCTGAACTCAGGGGTTTTGTGCTTCCGGCTGAGCTCTGGCCTCTCCCCGCAGCTGTGAGCCCATCCAGCTCCCCACAGGAATTACTCAGAGTTCTTGGAAAATCAGGTCATCCTAATTTCGGTGCTTAATTGTAGGCGTTAACGTAAACCTGAGACACACGCGGGTGCAGCCGCCTGCGATATAATTATCTCTGAGACCATGTTAAGCACAGTGAGCTCCAGTTGAACATCTTACCCTGCTGCAGCGCTGGCTAAAACAACCTTGAGGTCCCGATTTCTCGTGGTTATTTAAAACCCTTTGAATAGTCTTAGGATTATTTTTTCTATTTTTTATTTTGAGCCCTGTTTTCCCCACCAGGCCATTTCCCCCCTTGGTTGAGCCCCTTCTGCCACGCTCAGGTCTTTCCTGCACCCCGTTTTGATGCAGAGCCCTCCCTGACCCCTGAAGCAGGATCGCGTGTTGCTTCTGGGCTGTAACTCGCGAGAGAGTGATGTCTTTCACCATTAAGAGCATTTTTTGGAGCCCGTGAGGCTTCCTGAGGAAACCTGGGGGTAGTGCTGCCTTGTCAGGAGCAGAGCTCACCCTTCCCCTTGGATTTTGTCCACCAGCAGAGTGATGTGGTCAGAGCAAGGCAGCTGCCCTCTCGCATGGGATGGGAGAGGAGGCAGCTGAAGATGTTTGGCGGGGGGGAATAAGGAGCTTGTAGAGTTGGGGGCTGGATTCCCAACCAGTGAGAAACCCCCAGCACACAGCCCAAGTTTGGGCGCTGTTTTTAGGCAGACGTTGGGTTTTCCCACCTCCAGCGCCTTTGCTGCTGTCCCAGCAGGCTCTGAGGTTTGTCTTTTCACAGGGGTAGAGGAATACTGGAGTGACAGAGGGCTTTACTAATGTGCATGTTCCTTCCAGACGCTGGAGAACATGCTGGCCTCCGTCAAGAAGGGAAAAAAGATCAACGAGGAGGAAATCCCCCCTCCAGTGGCGCTGGGGAAGGGTGCAAGCTCTCCGCAGCCCTCCCTGGCTTCCCCCCTGCCAGCCCCCCGCCCTGGCTCCCCGCAGCCACCTCCGCAGCCGCCTGCTGCCTCTGCCCCCAAGCCGCAGCCACCCCCCGTTCTCCCAAAGCCTCAGGTCCTGCCCGTCAGCTCTCCAGAGGTGAAGCCAGCTCCTCCCTTGCCGTCTTCCCACCCAGGCAAAGGTTTGGCTTGTTCTTCTGCTCCAGAGATGGCTGTACCCCGCTGCTGATGGGGAAACCGGCAACACTGCTCTTCTCTCTGCTTCCCCAGGCTCTGACCATGCCGGTGCTGAGGCACTGCTGCGGGGCCGGCAGCGGGAGTACAAGCTTGCAGCGCTGCACGCTAAGCAGCATGGAGACCTGGAGATGGCCACAAAGTACTACCGGGTCGCAAAGGTAAGGCTCTGTGTGTCTGGGCACACATCAGGCAGCCAGAGTGGCCTGAATTTCCCTTCCTGTTCAATATTGGCGCAGATCTCCCGCTTTTTGTGGCTTCTGTAGTAAAACAAGGGTCTGTCAGGCTGGCTGGGGCTGTCTGCAAAACTCAATACAGAAAAAGAGCAAGCTTTTCTCTTTTCCTGGTGATTTTTCAGAGCTTTGACTCCTTGCTCGAAGCGGCAGGGAATGGCCAGCCGGTGGAGCTGAGCAGTGTGCCGCCTCCTCCCGGTAAGACCCAAAACCTTGCCAGGGAGCAGCAGGGAGCGTTCGTACCCCCTTTTCGGAGGGTCGAGAAAGCCAGCATGGCTGTTCTGCTTATCCTGGTGGATGCAGCCATTACCTTGCTGCTCATTTGCGGGTGCCAATCGCTTCCTTCTCCACAGACCAGCTGCCAAAGGAGTTGTCGCCTGGCCAGACGCAGCCTGCCGCAGCAGTGCCTGTGCCAGAAGTTAAACCAGCATCTCATGCGGCAGGTAGAAGCCCCAACAGCTAATTTCTAACCCCAAATTGCTCTCTAAGGAAAGGGAAGTTCAAAGAGATAGGCAATTGAAGCTTTTCTCTGGCTCTCCCCCCAAACAGACGTTCCCCCCGCTCCCCGGGATGTGCTGGAGGCTCTGCAGCAGAGGATGGAGCGGTACAAGACGGCGGCGGCGCAGGCCAAGAGCAAGGGAGATGACCGGAAGGCCCGGATGCACGAGCGCATCGTCAAGGTGCAGCAGCCGCGCGCTCTGCCAGCTGGCGTGGTGCTGCTGGCCCCACCGTGGCCCTGCTCAGCCTCCGCTTTCCCTTCCAGCAATACCAGGACGCCATCCGGGCACACAAAGCTGGGAAAACGGTGGATTTCTCGGAGCTGCCCATTCCGCCAGGTATTTTCCCTGTCCATTTCATGGCGAGCTCTTCTCGGAGCTGTTTCCCAAAGCTGGTGTGCCGCGAGGAGGAAGATTTGGACCCCTCCAGCCCAGCGAGGTGGGGCAGCCTTTGGTACCACCCAGCTTTTCCCCTTTGCACCCCTCTTGGCCAGGCTTCCAGCCTATCCAGGGCATGGAGAAGCCGTCCGGAGACCAAAGCATCGCTGGAGTGCTGGAAACTGCTATGAAGCTGGCCAGCCAGGAGGTCCATGAGGAGGATGATGGTGCTGAAAAGGCAAAGGTCGGGGTTTCTGGGGACTCGGGACCCCCTGTCTGACTCCCTCCCGCTGCCGCAGGAATCCAAAACAGAGAGTGGGGAGTGCTCTCGAGGGTACGCCCGGCCCTCCCACGCCTGAGGAGCGGATGTTTCGTGTTCTTCCTATTGCAGCCCCCTCTGACACCATCCCTTCTGTTCCCGGCACAGCCTGCCGCCAGCCCTGCCCCAGCGAGAGCCGCTACCGCCTCCCAGCCCAAGCAGCCACCGCCACCTCCCCAAACCTCCTCTGCGGGTGCCCCCAATTCTGCCGGAGTGGCCAAACCAGCCCCCAAAACCACCGCAAAAGGTACCACCCTGAACCAACGCTCAGTCCTCGCTGAGTCTGACCATGCTGGGGGGATGATGGGACCAGGGTGAGGATGCTGAGCCCCCCTCTTCCCCTGTAGCCCAGCAGCAGTTGGCATTCCTGGAAGGCAGAAGGAAGCAGCTGATGCAGGCCGCCCTCCGTGCCAAGCAGAAGAATGACATCGAGGGGGCAAAGCTCTTCCTGCGCCAGGCCAAAGGGCTGGATCCCATGATCGAGGCCTCGCAGAACGGTTTGCCTGTCGATATAACCAAGGTCAGGGGTTTTTTTAGGTTTGTGGCTCTGGGCAGGCTCCTCGTGTCACAGATCTGACCCCTTCCCTCCGTTCCAGGTACCCGAAGCCCCCGTGAACAAGGAGGACTTTGTGCTCGTGCAGCGTCGGGGGGTGCACATCTCTCCCGAGGCAGCCAGCCAGTACCTGGAGCTGATGAAGCTGATCCGGCAGCAGCACGAGGTAGCGGAGCCCAGGGGACGGCCAAAAAATAGGGTTATTTTGGCCGCATGTGAGGAGAGATTGAGAACAAGGCAGGCAGGAGGCCATGTGGGGCTGTGTGAAGTGTGCAATGAAAGAGGGGAGACCTGGAGGGGGGGTCCTTCCTCACTGTAGATGAGGAAGGAAGGATAGTGAGGAGGAAGGAAATGAGCTGCTTCCCTCTCCAAGGGAAGGGTGCTTTAAATCTTGGCATAAATCGAGGCTGAGTTTGGACTGAAGCAGGGTTTTCTGCTGGAGAAGAAACCTCCAGGCTGGAGCAGGACACTCGGGAAAGGGGCAATGCCTCTGGGCTTGGAAAACCCAGCACCAACGTGTCCAGGGAGTGCTGGGTCGGGTGGATCTGGCGTTGGGGCTGCCATGGCTGCCCAAGGAGCTCTGCTCCTCTGTGGCCACCTGTGCCAGGAGGCCGGCGGGATGCAGAAACCTTCCTCTTCTCTCCTCTTCCTCCCAGATGTGCATGAATTACTCCAAGCAGTTCACTCACCTGGGGAACATTGCGGAGACGACCAAGTGAGTCTGCTGGCTAGTGCACGCAGTGTTTGTCTGCTGGGGTGGTGCGGGCAGGCAGAGAGGGCAGGATTGCCACAGGGGGAGGCACCTTCCTCGCCACGAGAGCGCGGTGGTGCCGAGGAAGATGAGGACATTGCCGTAAGCCGTTCTCCCCGCCAGGTTTGAGAAGCTGGCTGAGGACTGCAAGCAGAATATGGAGATCCTGAAGCAGGCCCACGCCCGGGGCTTCCCGCTGCCCAAGTACCATTATGAGCAACGAACCTTCAGCGTCATCAAGTAGGGGCTTGCTGGCCGAGCGTGGCTTCCGCAGGCGAGGAAGGATGGGCGGGCGCTGATGGGATTCTTCTGCTCTCGCCGTCCACAGGATCTTTCCGGAGCTGAACAGCAATGACATGGTGTTGTCGATAGTGAAAGGGATCAACCTCCCGGCACCGCCAGGTGAGAGAAAACGGGGGGGAGAGTGCAGGACGGCCATGACTACGGAGACCTCCCCAGCTCAGGCTATGCTGCTCAGCTGTAGGCACCGGCCCAAAGGGCTCGCGGCAGCTTGCAAGCCACCGGCACTGCCCAGCAGCTGTCAACCGGCGCCTGGCGGCTGGGGATCCTCGCCATGGTGGGGAGGAGGGAGCGCTGGGGTTTGCTTGTTTCCCCCTTGCTGCGCCGGGTGCCCGCTGACAACTGTCTTTTTTCTTAATTATCTGCTGTTAAAATGCCCCGGGGGCAGCTGGGCCCCTTGCCAGCGCTCATTAACGTGCACTGCTTCCCCGGCTGTTCTCACCCGCGGGGAGCGGTGAGGACATGGTGATGGTCCTGCCAAAGCCCTGATATGCCAGGCAGGCTCCCCAGGGAGCAGCAGGCAGCTGCCTGTGCTGGCAGAGCTCAGGGACAGTGCGGGGGCCCAGGGAGGACCATGAATCCTCTGCCGCGGCAACCTGCGAGTGGTCGGCACCGCCGGCACGGCGCTCACGCCATGTTGGTCTTGCAGGTGTGGCTCCCAATGATCTGGACGCCTTCGTGCGCTTCGAGTTCCCCTACCCCAATGCGGTAAGTCGGCATCCATCCACCGTGCTCCCCGGCCGAGCGGCTCAGCCCTCACCCTCCCACCTTTACCTTGGCAGGAGGAAGCTCAAAAAGACAAGACCAACGTCATCAAAAACACCGATTCTCCCGGTAAGTGCCCCGTTCTGCCCTTCCCGAGAGGCAGGGAGGGGGCTGGTACCAAGGGAGCGACACGAAGGCTCCACGCCATCACTGCAGAGCGTGCCAAGGCTCCGGGCTGAGAATCGTTAGTGTGACAGAGTGGGGGTAATTAACGCAGCTCTGCTCCTGGCCCCCATCTCGCTGGGGGCTCGGCGCTGCTCCTCCTGTTGATGCCGTGGTTTTGGTGCGGTGGTTCCCTTGGCAGAATTCAAGGAGCAGTTCAAGCTGTACATGAACCGAGGGCACCGGGGGCTCCGGCGGGTCCTTCAGGCCAAAGGCATCAAGTTTGAAGTGGCGCATAAAGGGTAAGAGACCGAGGTTTTCCCCTCTCTTCTGGCTACCCTGAGCTGGTTTTACCCCTCTCCGCTCTCCCAGGGGGCTGTTCAAGATGGACCGTGTCATCGGCACAGCCCAGCTCAAGCTGGCGGCACTGGAGACGGTGTGCGAGGTTCGGGAGATCATTGAGGTAAGGAGCACCGGGGCCCGTCATCACCCCCACCGCCATCTCTTGGGGGTGGACACCAGCTCTCCAGTTTGTTAATGGGATTTCCATCCTCTCTCCGGTTTGTTAATGGTATTTCCCTCCTCTCTCCCAGCTGCTGGATGGCCGCCGGCCCACGGGGGGGAAACTGGAAGTGATTGTGCGGATCAGGGAGCCCCTGAGCTCCCAGCAGCTGGAGATGAGGACGGAGCGCTGGCTGGTCATCAACCCCAGCACCATGCCCCCGGTAAGTGCCGCAGCGGGCACCGGATGCTGCCCGCAGGCCCCAGTTGCCCTCGGGCTCCCCATCCATTAAATAAATGCTGCGGCCGGGGGGGAAACACCCTCTTAAACCCGGCTCTCCCTCCAGGTTGCCGTCCCCAAACCCAAACCGGCCGTTGCTCCCGCAAAGGAAGTGAACAGGCGAGTGCCGGGGGGCTGCCTGGCAAGTGCCGCGGTGCAGTGGCACCGCTGGCAGGGCACGCTGGGGCGGCAGGGGCTCGGCACCCTCTTTCGGGGGCTGTTTGGGGGTTGACCGGGGCGGTTGGTGGGATCCAGATCATCCTCGGGGGGACCAGGCTGGGATGGGGACATGACGCCGGCACGGCAGATGCCGTTCACCGTCTCTCCTCTCCGTTTTTCCTTCCCTTTCAGGACAGCCATCTGCTCGGTGCTGTAGCGAGGCCGGCCCTGCCTGCACCTCTTCTCCTCCTCTTCCTCCCCTTCTTCCTCCACGGGGCCTGCTTTTACCCAAAGGGGCGCAGGCCAGAGCCACAGCCCAGGAAAACTCTGATTTCTGGACACCTTGTCCTGCTCCATCCCTTCCTCGGTGGCTGCTCCCACCCCCAATCCAGGGGTGTCCCAATCCAGGGGTCTTGATGCTCGCCGTTGCCGATGAGGCCAGTTTGGCAGCTGGGGAGTGGCACAGAGTGGGAATTTAAACCCCACCCCGGCCCCGTCCGGCTGCAGGAGGAGGAGGAGAAAAGGGCAGGCATCGCATGGAGGAGAGGAGCAAGGACCAAGGTGGGAGATGAGGAGCAAGGAGGGGAGGGCTGGGTCCCCATCCCACCCCACTAGGGCCAGTCGGCCCCCCCCTCCCCGGGACCCCCGTTCCTCTCCTTCCCAGCCAACCGGCCTGTGCTGGCAGATGGTGTCCTGAAAGGACGGGGCTGGGGGTACATCGCGGGCCGAGCCTGGGGGTCTGGGGGGGGGTACCGCCCCCTCCCCATCCTCCCCCCACCTCACCCGGGGCCGTCTCCCCCCTCCCCGCAGCAGGGCCATGCCGGCATTGCCCAGCCTCAACCTGCTGGCCTTCGACCAGGAAAAGCTGGAGAGGAAGGTGAGCACTGCTGACGCCATGCCTACAGCGTTTCGGGGGGGCTCCCCTCACCGCTGCGTGCCCCCCCGCACCGTCACCACTACGTGTGTATGTTCCCCCCACCGTGCTCCCTGTCCCTGCAGATGCTGGCGTACCGGCAGGCGCAGCGGCCGGTCCCCCCTGAGCTGCGGGAACAGTACCAGGACATCGCCCGGCGCAGCCAGCTCCTGCGGTCGCGCCTGCAGCATGGCGACCCCATCTTCCGCAAAGGTGAGGTGCCTCCATAGTGTGTGTTGGGGGGGCGGGGGGGGGCACGTGTGGGGGTGTCCATGCCCCCTCCCCGACTTTATTTTCCCCTTTTCCTCCTCTTTTTAAGAGTACCTGGCCCAGCTGGAGCGATACTTGCAGCTCTACACCGAGACGGCAAGGCGCTTGGGCACCGAGGGCAACCGGGTGAGGCAGCCCCCAAAACCGCCGTGGGGGACACCAGCACCCAAGGGTGCTATTGGGGGTGGGGGGCCCCACTCATCCCCCCCCTCCGACATCTCCTTCTCAGCAGGATGCGGCCAAGGAAGCGCTGTACAAGAGGAACCTGGTGGAGAGCGAGGTGAGGGGCAGGCCTGGGGGGGGGGGGGGGTTTTTGGGGGGGCCCCCCCCGCCCCCCCTCCCCCCC